TCCCCTGCCGCCCCCGGGAGCTGGCCGGGCCGGGCGCTGGGGCTCCACAGCCGGGCCCTGCCTGACGAGGGAGGTGGAAAGTTTCTTTGCCGTCTCCGGATGACTCTGCCCGGAACGTGACTCCGTCTTTCCAGGGGGGCTCTGGGCGCATCCTGTAAATGCCTCGCCACTGTCCTGGGAGGGGCCGCGTGCCAGCCTGACTCACGGCTTCCTCTTGCCCTTCCCCTCCTCCACCAGCTGTGGTGCTCGCAAGGGGTTGTTTGGCACCGGTATCTGCCCGGCCAGCCGTCCCTGGGGTTGCCCTGCGGGGTGAGGGCGTTCCTGGGAGTGCCAGGCAAAATCCGGGGCTGAGCCCCCCTTCCAGGCCGTGCTCAGCTCCGCTCAAATGCGTGTGCACAAGCTTCTGTGCAGCCGTGCTCGCACGGGGGTGTGCGGCCTCGTTGCACGTGCAAGCGTTCACAGCGCCGCCTGCCATGGGCCTGCGGCCCCTGCCTCTCGCCGGCACGGAGCAGCGGCCCGTTTCTCCTGGCTGCCTCTCCTCCCTCCAGCTGACCGGGACGTGCCTTGGGTTCCTGACGGAGGGTGGGAAACCCTCATGGTAACTTGGAGATGGCCCAAAACCCACAAACCCAGCCGGAGTCACTCCAGAGGCCGCATTCCTCTCATTCCGGCCCTCCAGCTCATCTCTTTCCCCTCCCTGCCTGCCCCCAGAGCCGGCCGGCTGTCCCTGCGCTCCGGCTGGGTTATGGGGGTGCCCCTCCATCCCCTTCCCCCACCTAGCTGCTGGCCCTTTGCCTCATGCACAGCGGTGAGCAGTGCCCCACCTGTGTGTGCTCCCCCTGGGTGGCTCCTTTCCCTGAGCACTGGTCCCGAGGGTCTGTCCCCTTCGAGACCGGGCCCGGGACCTTTCCAGGGCTCTGCTCCTCTGCTCTGGGGTGTGCCCCCCTTTGCAGGGCGTATTCATGTCCCTCCGTTGAACTGCCCTTAATGAATTCCAGCTCCCGGCTGCTTCAAAGCACCCAGCAGGCTCCTGGTGAGAGGGGGAGAGACCATCTGGCCCCCCCCCCCCCCGGCCCAGCCTCTGGGGCCCCCTCTTAACCCTTTGTCCTTCTATCTCTGCTCTTCTTGGTCCCTGGATGGCGAAGGTGCTGGGTGGGGCGAGGCCCTTGAGAGAGCTGTGTTCTCCCTCGCCGATGGCGAGACTGTTACCATGACACCTTGAGGGCCTCACTGAAGTCAGGGCCCTGTTTTGCGGGATGCCGCACATAAACAGCTCACCCGGGAACAGCCTGTTTCTTACCTGGCAAATAAACAACGGGGACTGAGGGGCTAAGGGACTTGCCCAAGGGCGCAGCGTCTGTGGCGGAGCAGAGAGCTGTGTTCTCCCTCGCCGATGGCGAGACTGTTACCATGACACCTTGAGGGCCTCACTGAAGTCAGGGCCCTGTTTTGCGGGATGCCGCACATAAACAGCTCACCCGGGAACAGCCTGTTTCTTACCTGGCAAATAAACAACGGGGACTGAGGGGCTAAGGGACTTGCCCAAGGGCGCAGCGTCTGTGGCGGAGCAGGGAATAACCCTCCAGTCCCCTGTGTGCTGCGCTTGTTCCCTCAGCCTGTCCTGCCTCAGTTTCCCCTGGGGAGGGCGCTTGCTGTAAGCGGTGTGGGGCTGTCAGAGGCAGTTTGCTGAGGAATACGGCCGGCGGGGCGGGGCGGGG